TACAGCTTGAAAAAAGTATGATATAAAAGCATAACTTAAGCAGTTTTAATTGCTCTTAAACTACTATATAATATTACTGTGTATATTGTGTTAAAAAAAATAGATAAAGAAACAGAATGTTCATATATGTGATATGTGACATATTACCTAAGTGTGGCTCTGTAGTGGTCTTTTTAAAATATCCAGAAAGATCAGTCAGAGTAGAAGAAGTGAGCAAAAGAATTAAAACACATAGCTGAATAAATATGCAATTTAATATATATTAAAATAGACTTACATATTGATGTCCATGTAGAATGCAAAGGAATTAAATATTTTATACTGTTAAAGAATAATGAAAATTATACTGAATCACAAAATGATAATAAATATTTTCACCTTCAAGATTGAGATCATTAGTAATGCTGATATTATATTACTAGTAGCTGATTAAAATATTTAATATAAAAATTGATGTATCTTAGTAATGTGAAAATTATTATATTTTTCCTTAATATTATGAATTGTTATTTATTAATCATTGTAAAAATTAAATAAATGTTCTCAAATTCCTACCATACTTGCGCATAAGCCAATCTTCAGGTACAGCACAATAACTGCCTGTAGGATCCACATCCCCTAATGATGATATTTTGCTAGGCCTTCCAAATTTATTGCACCATCGAAAAGCTGCTAATTGACCTTAAGGATATGACAAAAATATTCCTACATATTATCTATAGATATGCGAAAATGATCCATTATACAGTAAAAAGTTAAAAAAAAATAATTGTATTTTAATAACAATCTTGATAAAATATAATTACGTTGATATCCAGCCCTATCTTCTTCCGCTTTACACTCTTCGAGGGCTTTTAAAAAAAGATTTCGTTCTTCCAAGGTAAAATTAGAAACCACTTCCTTCGCCTTTTCTTTCGTTAAAGTGTCGGGAAAACCTGTTTTGTTTTCGTTGCTGTAACATGTCCTCGGAATAGTCCACGTATTGAACACAGATGGGAGTAACGAATGTTTTCCTGACAGAAAATTATTCATGTAACACAATTTTCGCTGACCGTGATAAAATCGCGATATATTTCTACCGAAATACATAATTTCCCGTGGAATAAATACTGTTTGACTAGTCAAAGTGGCAATCGTTGTACACATCTTTGCGAAAACTAAAGATCCCTTTCGTTATCGACAATTTAAACAAAATTGACGTGACTATGAGGACATGTACAAAATTAATACCTAAAATCAATAATTCGAACAGTTTAAGAATGATAAGATTTCAAGGATATAGATTACATTATTAAACACTTAAAGATACGCACATATATCTTGTATTAGATCAATTGGCAAATGACTCAACCTTGCGCCATTGCCAGTAGCACAGACGAGGTACAGAATAGACCTATCATCTAATGGGATTTTATGTCTCACGTTCTGAAATACCGATCGTGTAAGAAATCGATAATAGAGCGATGAACTTAATAATTATATACAATCCAATCATCAAATATGGTAATGTCGACAGAGATAAAAGATTCTCTTTTGTTAAAGCCTCATATAAAGATATTGTCCGGCAAGGTTAAGGCTTTGAGGCTTCACGCTGGCTTTAGGGTCTAGAAGTGGGAGATGTAAAAGTTGTGACGTCTCGCTGTTAATCAACCAATAGAGATAGAATAAGGCTATCGCATTTATATCTTCGTTGATAGACAGCCAATCATGATAAGAAGAAGTTAAGATTTTATATTTGGGGAATCTTTTCACACCCACCAAGTTTTATTATTTTTTATATTTATTCTTGATTCTCCCATTAAAATATAAAATTGTAATCAACCGTAATTATTCTTCTCATGAACGAAAAAAACTCGGGTTATAGAGGATTAAACATGTATGTGTTAAATATACATTTATATATGTTGGTTTAAAGAAATATGTCAGTGTATTTAATAAAATACACTCATACAAAGTAGAAAATTTATAATTCTAATTAATTTTTTCATTTTTGACAAAATGTATACGTCATAATTCCTTCATAATTTATATCAAACATCTCATTTTTAAGTTATAGATTGAGACGCATTACATTATTTTTCGTATTTGATATGAATAAGAATTATTAGATTAAACACTTTAACGTTAATGAAATTATTTATGGAATTAAGCATATTAGTACAAAAACTTATACTTAGAAATATTTAAGACTATTACATTTAAAAGAAATTATTACAAAAATTGTAAAATTCATGATGCATGAAACCTTTTAATAAATTTCACAAATAAGAACGTAAAAGTTTTATAAATAAATATGTCGAGGTTAAATTTTTGTCGACAAGAAGAAATTTTATATAGTAAAACAGGTTATTATAGCATTATATTTACCTTTAATTAAATATTCTTTATTTTTTGCTTGTCTCTACCATTTGCATATCATTTCATAGTAACAGCGTATACAAAAAGATGTCTGCGGATATACAATGCAAGATAATAGTAAATTTTCAAAAGAAAAATATCATAGCATGGAATGTCAACTGAGAATTCAAAATAAATGTAGTATTGAGGATGTACTGAAAATAAAGAAGTATTTTTTATGAACTTGGATTACAGGGGGCGTAAGGTGCATCATGCGCAAAAGTAGCAATTTAAAATGGCTATTCATGCGCATATGTTCTGATTAATAGTATTGACGTTACGGGTTTTCAAACAAATTTCAAACAAAAGTTAATCAGTATTCAGTTGACAATAAATCGTGTTAATGAAAATTTACAAAAAAGTTTTTATTCGATAAAAAATAAAGATCACTACAATTTTTTTAAGTGAAACCATATATTTTTTTATGTGCCAATCAGTGCATATTTGAATTCTCTTCAAAAAATGATTAGAGAACTTAGGTCGAAAATTGATTAATTTAGAAATTATGATTTTTGTCCCGAACGCCCACATACTCGAAACACTGCGTCTCACCGAGATTCAAAGGGAATCTCCTTATTCTTACTCATGCGCTCAGGTTGCTCGAGCGTCACGTGGTGACGTAGATATTTGGCGGAAAGAGCCGAACAGACTTCGCACACGGATAGAGCTACCGCTACACTTGTGTGAGAGCACAAGGCGGTATAGTGGGAGACGGCGGTAGGTCATAGTGGGGGGCCCAATGTGCACGATTCTGGCATCGTTGTTGACGTATCCTTTGGTGTGTCATATGGATACATTTGTGTTACGTGCTATACAAAAAGAGTAACCGGTTACGTGACGTTTTTGCACTACTCCAGCTTTATAAATTGTATACAAATATTCGAGAATTGCATATGCATTACATTGTATACATGGACAGAATATAAATGCCGGAGTATCTCTAGGTTAGACAATTTCATGGCGGTTACAGCAGTGTAAGATTGCATTCTGTATATTTGAATACGTATTTATCTTATTCACTAATTTCTATACGCATGTAAAACAGCTTAAATAGATATTAAATTGTGACATAGCAACGAAATAACTGTTTATAAGTCCTTTAAGGGTTATAGGATGACATTATATCGTATTAACAATTCGTCCAATTTATTGAGAGCTTTGTCACGCGTCCCGCACACAGGTATGAAATTTATATCATATTTTTACTATAAGTTTGTATCTATTATCAGTATCTCAAAAAATTAATTCCCAACATTAATTTCGTCTTATTACTGAGTGACCGATTAAAATTAACATATGTAGTTAACTTTTAGTTCTTTTATGATTAAATTAATCGTGCAACCAAGAATTATTAGGTGCATTCATACAGTATGAAGCCTCTTTGTAAACTTTTCACATAAGGCTAATAAAAAATATTGTTACTTTAAACATTACATTTTTCAAGAAATGTAGGAATAACAAGTGTTTTTACCATGATTATCTTTTGATTGCTTATGTAACACACTTGAGAAACAATGAATCGTCATTTGAAATTTACATAAATCGTACATATTAATGTACATTCAACAAAGAGCGTTTATTAAAAAATGAAATATGTTGTAACCATTTACAAATGTTTCTGGTGTATTGAATTTCTTGTCAAAATGTATTAGGAACGTATTAACGTTTCTGAGCGGAAGAATTATCATTTTTTCAGCAAATACGTCATTAGGCGAAATGCAGTACACACGATATGCAGTGATACCTCAAAACCGTATGAAGAATCTCCACGTAACGAGTATTCGTGGTTATCCTGATCCCCCTACTCTACCGCTTCCTACAAACGTCTCCGAAATATTTGCAAACGAGACTGGTCGATTTAGTCCGGAAAGATTGCGAGATATTGCTGCACCGGTACTCTTACATGGCAAAAATGATTGCAAATCATTTTTTTCGGAACAATTAACGAAATCACCAGAGCACTCATGCAGATTGGAAAATTCTAACGATACGCACGTAGATTCGTACGACTGTTTTGGCGCTGTCAGTTTGAATAGCACAATGCAAACTAACGTACCGAAACCGTTTTGCTCTAATGGTAAATCAACATACTTGAATATGCCGGGTGGTCAGTGGGCCAGAGACGGAAAATACATCGCCGAGGACATGCAGAAATCACATTATCGAAGCATTCGTATATCTCAACTGAAATTGGATAAAAATGGTTAGAAAGAATTCAGCGAAAGAAAAAGCTCCCGACAATTATATATGATTTTTTCATTACAATTTTAAAAAGTAAAATTTTTGTATGTAATGACGGGATGCATTAATTAAGAAAAAAAAAATATTTTGTTTAGAAAGCTTATACCGATAAATGTTTTTAAATGTTGCATGTTATACTTTGTGATCAATTATTATGAACGTTAAATGTTCTAATTAACGAGGATAACAAAATTAGTTCTTTTTTTAGTAATCTACGATAATTATCTTAAAATTATTAGAGCATGCCGAAAATGCATTCTTTATTCTACTACCGATATAATTACACTGTGCAGAAACTGTAATTTGTATTCAGGTCTGGCAAATCATGTCGCAACGAATATTCTTTTACAAACAATATACAAACCAAGCTATACCTACATAATGGCATATTCGACAAAAGTAGCTCCGCCGTTAAATAATTTAACAAATTCTGATGATAAAAAGGAAGTGATATCTAATGAATATATATCCAAGAAAGAGAGGTTTAAAAAATTAGTAAAGGATTACGGAATTACTGCTACTATTTTTCACATAGGAATTTCTTTAATATCTCTTGGTGCTTGTTATACAGCTGTGGCTAGGTCAGTTTTAACGATTGTATTTTATTTTCCCATGTGCAAATTTTTTGTAGTTTGATCTTAATTTTTTAAATTAAACGTTAAATGACATATTTATTTGAGACAAATATCAAGGAAAGAAAATTTATGTAATTGTACTGAAATAATTCAGTGTACTTATTATAGAAATTATTAATTTCAGTGGGATAGATTTAGAGCCTATCGTTAAAATGTTCGTCAGCTCAAAATATGAGGACGCACAAAGTTTTCTTAGTAATTCATCCACTTTTTTGATTGCATACGGTATTCACAAGGTGATGATGCCTATTCGACTTACAATAACAGTGACCGTACTGCCACTTCTTGTGAGGAAGTTACGAAAAGTGGGAGTAATTAAACCTATAAAATAAAAATAAATAAGCACCAAGAAAGCAGGTGTTAAGTGATCGCGATTACAACCATTATGTGTTTAGCACCGTAATATTTATACATACGTATACTTTATAATTATAATGTTTATAACAAATTTAATTTGATTAAATAAACACACATATAAACTATTTGCATTTATGTATATATTCCGGTTTATTATATAAAGAATATAGTGGTTATAATTACTTTACACAACGTTACGTATATTCCATATATGATACTTTGCGCATCTACTATAAATGTAAGTACGGCTGTTTTAATTACACACAAAAGCTCGGCAGTTTCAATGGACGAATTGATCAGTTATATTGGAACACAATGATTACACCCGGTACGCAGATTTTTACCGAGTATTTTTTATTCGACTGGTAATTACCGAGTCTACCAAGATTTGAGTTAATTACGCATAGGAAACATACGAAAATGCCATTTATTTGGCAAACATGTATATGTACATAATTTTTTAAAAATATATTATAGTACATAGTAAAATTAACGTATGTAAGTATATATACAATTCAATTAACCTAGAGTAGTACATATCTTAGAATTTAATTTTACATCTTTCAAAGATATACTTGCCTTAATTCTATTCTACAAAGACAAGGCGTTTACAAATGCATTAAGAAAAGAATAATATCAAGAAGAATATCTTAACGAGATTCTTAAAGGTTAAAGTAAACAAAATTTTAAATGTTCTTAAAATCTTAATTCAGTATTGTAAAATATTTCTAAAGCTGCTCCGTAAAAATATAAAAATTGTTCGTGAGATTAGTAAGCGTAATTGTTCTCAATCTATTGATCAAACCCAAATTAGAAGGTTTGAAACTACAATGAGATATACTGAGTATTCACTGTTTTTTGTGCATAGTAGAAAAGTACATTTATAAACATTGAACACATTGTCTGCAAACAGTTTGAGCACTTACAACTTAAACGATATATCATTAGTTGTGAATTCTGTTAATGCAAAAAGGAAGAATTTATTACTTAAAATATAACGTGAACATCGACTAATAATACTTGCAAACTAATCATTGTTTAGTCCTAACATTTATACAGTTCATATGCAATTTTCATAAAAATATAATTGGAAAATTCATAAATTGCTTAAACAAACATACAATTGTTTCAATAAAAAAATATTTTGGCACAGTATATTTGTATAATCCTCGTTACTCTTTATAATGCACCGATAAGATACAAAAATAATATAAAAATGTATACTTTGCTATTTAGATCTTTTTCCAATAAATCAAATCTAATAACATTCGTTTATATGACGTTGAGCGTTGTATTCAATGATCAAATGTAGCAATTAAGAAAGGCAAAACTTTTCCACTTTTGTTGCATAGAAACAGATTTTTTTAAACGTACGCCTCGGTCTGACGTCCTTGTATATGATTGAAAAACTGTCGCCAACTTGTCAGTGTTTTACTTGACCATACCCAAAAGCTACTTGTTATACCAACAATCATAGCCATTAAATATTTTATCATGAAAACCTCAAATTCTGGTCGCCTTCCAACGTCACGAGTTCGCTCGCCTACAGGACATGGCATGGAATATAAAGCTTGTGGTCCAGGTCTTGAACACATCTCCATATTCCAAGTCAACATCCATTGGTCAAAATATGCTTGCTCATAAAATAAGCAGGCAATGACAATCAATGCAGGAACTATGTATAGTACAGAAAATATGCCAATACGTATCATTAACTTTTCTAATTTATCAGTCTTTGTGCCGTCGTGTTTCATAACCGTACGTATACGGAATAGAGAAACAAAGCCAGCTAATAAGAAGGCTGTTCCTAGGACAAGATAGACACATAATGGAGCCAAAACAAATCCACGTAGAGCTTCAACATTCCAAAGGCCCACATAACAAACTCCAGATAATATATCTCCTATAAAGATAAAGAAATGTATTAATCACAAATACATGAATTACATCATATAATTTCTTTCTCTGCTTTTAGCAACTTACCTTCTACCTTTCCCATTGCAAGAATAGTAACTGTTTTTATTGCTGGTGCAGCCCAAGCAGCTAAATGAAAATACTGTGAATTAGCTTCTATTGCTTCATGACCCCATTTTAACCCAGCAGCTAGGAACCATGTCAATGTTAGGATGACCCACCATATACTAGATGCCATCCCAAAAAAGTAAAGTATCATAAAAAGCACAGTGCACAATTCATGCTTGGTACCCTGTGTTATTGTTGATGTCATTTGTATTCTCATATCTAAAGGAGGTGGGAAAGGTTCTCTGCACGAGATAGAATTTCCAGCTGCCCAACCAATAACATATGCCAATGCTACCATAAGGTAACACACTGACAAAAAGATGATTGGCCTTTCAGGATACCTAAATAAAAAATTATATGCATAATACATTATAAATTATCATATACTTGAGTACTAACATTCAAAAGAACATAGTTTAAAAGATTTAATATTTGTTTATATAACAAATTTTTTTAATAATTAAAATATATGCTTTGCATAAAGCTACAAACTATACTTGAACATTCATGTATGATAATTTACCTGAATCTATCCGTGTCAATGAGAAACGTTAGAAAGGTGAAAAAGCAAGAAGCTGCGCAAACGGACGCCCAAGTACCAACCCAGATCCTTGAAAATCGTCGTTCTCTTTCCGTAAAAAACATTCCATCGCAAGGTGCGCCGCAATTAGGTTCAACTTTATCGCCGACCTTCAGCGAGTAACCGAGTTCCTGTGGGACCTTGAAATGCATTGGGCAAACGAAGCCGAAGTCCCTGGCACCGAGCATATAGCCGCTACCGTACGGTTTCGCTCCTCCGGTCCAGGACGGTTGAAATTCAGCTACTGGCATAAGTGGTGGTGAATATGCCGGTGGTGACGGTTCTGGTGGTGTAGTCTCATTGTGACCCACGCAAAGTTCGGGACCGCCGTTTTCGGGTAACTTGGAACAATCAAGATTGTCCGGCCAGGCAAAATCGAAGCTGTTCATCAAACGTTCACATCCTGCACGAGCACTCTCACATAATGACCTGCACGGGGGTATAGCCCTGTCGATGATGGTGCATACAGGCGCGTAAACTGTACATAAGAAGAAACGAAGAACAGGGCTGCACTTCATCTTAACCAAAGGCGCGAATTGATGCACCTCCTGGCCGGCATCTTCTTGCTTTTGATGGTTCATTAGATTCGGCATAATTGTCTCGTTGTACGGAATGTTCATGCATAAATTTATTGTAATCGGTTCGCATCTTCCGTGATGCGCCAACGGATCTTTTGCGTGAAGAGCATTGACACCCAACACAACTACTGAAAGAACATAGATTGTCGGATAACACAGAATCATTGCTGCGTAACGTTGGCCGATCGCCACTTTCGAGATCAATCGTCACGCGAAGCAGCTATCAAAAAGATACGAACGCACCACGCCTTCGAACATCACCAACGAATCGTGCAGGACATAATAATACTGAACGGAATGAGCGAAGAAATGAGCGTTCCTAACGACGATGATGGACGCAACCACAATACTGTAAACAGAACATCGTGAATGAGTTCCAATAGGAAGGAAACTCTTTCAGATTCTATGTACGCCACTGGCGCCATCTATGAAGCATTGTGTACGTCTCTAAGTAGCGGGAAATCCTAATATATATTTTCAAATATAAAGTATAGCTTTTAAAAAAATATCCAGAAGTGATAAAAAGTAATGTAACACTCTATAGAAATAAAAAAGTATAACATGTCATTTAAAAATATAAAGGTGACTGAAATCTCCGAAAACTCTCTACCAACATGTTACGACCCACTCTGTACCATATAATTTTTGTAAATAAAATTTTTTCATATCTATAAAACTATCTATTGACCTACCCCCATATATGATAAATAAAATAATCAATGTAGTACTGTTGTGATGGAGTATGGAAATTTTTAGGTTATAAATAACGAAATATGATGTTAATCGATTCATTTTGATTTTATTTCTTTCCCGACATATAATGCACAATACGTTCGATTTCATTAGTTGTAATTGTTTATTCATCGCAGATGATTAGCGTGATCGTAAGTACTATGGTTTTTTTTTTGTTATACCTTCTGTTTTAATCATATAGTACATACTTGCTCGTCGAATTCGTGCACTTTTAGACGGGGTCGTACCTTCGGGTGTTCATCGTCATTGCGTATTATAATGATAGTCTTTTGAGTTGTACGAGTTACCCGAAATACGATTCACAAACGGCCTCGTTATCGTAAACAAATAAATAATTTATCTCCTCGAAATACTCTCAACTTGAATCGTCTCATTAGACGTAGGAGGTCAGCCTTACGATCTTACGATTAGTAACACTTAAGATTCAATACGGAAGATTGAAATGTGTCGAGTGAGCCACTTTTTCGTCTTCCTGTCCTTCTCTGTAATCTCAATGGTACTAACGATAATTCTGCCCCGCCATGAAATTAAGGAAGCCTGTTATTAAAGAAAACATGTTCCGATAGAACGATCGAATTTCTTTTTATATTTTCATATTTTGCTCTGGTTCACTTCTATCAGATAAAAGTCAATATTCCTTTTCCTGGTTTGCATTGTATTAAGAAGGAAAATGTCACTTTAGTTATCACTTAAAATCTGTTCAAGAGAACTAACTACAAATCACTTATACAAATATAAATATACGTATTATTAATGCCACGATTTGTCGCATATAAAACAATACAATAACGAGGAAGACGATTGATAATGGAAGGTTTAAGATTTTTATAGCGAAGGCAGAAGTAAGATGGTTTAGTACACGAAATAGGTTTATATGTGTATATATATATATATTAAACTTTACCCTCTTTAGAGTTTTATTACCGGAGATTAATTTTCAAATCGATCGTATACCTTCGTTGGACCTAACATTTCATTTTTTGCCTTTTTTGGAATGGAACAACAGCTGTACAAATGGAAAGATCTAAAGATCTCTTTAAGCAGCTTAAAACGTTACGATTGGCACAAAACACGAGGAACATCGCAAAGCGTACTGTGAAACCTTTATGAGATTCACTTTCTTTTGGATGACCGCTTTACTTGCACTTCTCATTGCACAATGGGACGCGTTAAGCTTACGAGGAAAATGTCTCGTAAACTATAGCACGACCTGCGTGCTTTTCACCTTAAAACATCCCAAAAATGTAAAATTTTTGTCATTACTGTTGTAACACTTTAAGTCTTTTTTTTATCGAGTACCCGCAAATTTATATTAACTTGTACGCCTTGTATGGTATCTAACTGATTCGTTAACACGTTTGAAGTACGAATAATTAAAAACTCACGTAACATTATCAGATAAATCAGAAGTACTCGTTGGATCAAAGTGTATTAAAAATGCACTTTAAAATGGAAAAATTCATACGTATTATTCTTGACGTAAATGGAAGACGAAATGTGGCCCATGTTTCTATCTCGACAGTTAGTCGGTTAGCATCCTCTGCTCGTATACAATCCCATCAAAGTATGTACGCAAGATTTATCAAGCACACACAAGATTAGAAATGTGGTATACGTGCAGAGGTTCGCTCGTAATTATACGCCTGTACATAATTACGTGCAAAAATCCGTCGCGCAATGTCAGAAGGGAGTTGCCTCTTTTTCGGTTAGCTCTTTGGAGGTTAAGTTGTTGGGATAAAATATGTCGTCCGGACGACACGTATGGTCGGTTCGTTCAAAGTTCTCATCTTCCATCTTCGCGCGACTGAATCAGTGTGAACTCCTCCAAAGAGTTAAGCCTCATCGCTCATTCCGAAAAAAATAATTGATGCAATCGTATCCGTAATAAAAAGGCATGTATAATTTATACACCTTTTTTGATTAGCACCGAACTTAATCACTAGTCAGTTTACGTACGCGTCCATATCTGTATAACAGTGTCCACGCACAGTCTACTCTAAATTGTAATCGTGTGTTTAAAATCCCGAGTGAAACGCAATTCATTCTTCTGCCGTTGCGCCGTACAACACGCAACAATTAAATAGAGATTAAAATACTTTCGAGACATTCGAAAAAATGGACAGACTTTCTTGGAATATTCAGCAAGATTAATATACATAATGCTCCCGCGTAAATTACCGCCAGCTCGCATTATATTATATTTGTTTGTATCTCGCGTACGTGTAGATATATTTTTATCTATTTATCGATCTATCTATCGTCCTTCTAGTGACACTAGTCGTGTCCAACTAACTTCTTCGAGTGTGTCAGTGCGTGTATATCGTTTCGCGTATTTCTGCATATGATGAAAAATCAATTACATAGAGGAATAATATATTTGTAAAATGTTTCTATTTACAATCTATAATTTGATGGCCCTTTAAATGAATGTCAGGCGTTAATTTACAACTAGAATTTAGGTTAAATCTTAAGCCAATGGTAGGCTAATAATTTATGCCTACGTTGGCATATTTTGAAAATTTCGAGTTTAGGCAATGTATTTAAAACGGATGATAAATAAGATCTTTCATTGTGGCAGCAGTTACTAGGCTACTCTTTATATTACCACATTAAAACTAATTTTTTAATTAATAAATTTATTCTATGAATTTTCTTCTTTTTTTTTACTCAATGAAAATCTTTCGTAATTTTTAATTCGTCAACATTTAAATGTAACGTTTATATCTTTTTTATTTAAAAGTTTTAGACAGTTACCAGTAATTCAAGCATCAGAAACGTATTATTGAAATCATGTGCAAATTACACGCTATCAAATTCCGTAGTAAATATGCCATCATCTTTTGTTTTTCTTTTTTCTCGAAATGTACGTTTGATTTTCCAACAAACAGCTACGTGAACATCACTCACGCGACGTAGACGTATCAATACCCGTATACCGATATAATTTCTATGAATTTCACGTGTGACGTTCACGTGCGCGGCCACTGAATGCTAGTTCCATGAAAAAAAAGGTAGGTGGCTACGCGAATCACGATATAACACGCAACAGCTGCACACGCCGAGTGTAACAAAAAGAAAATAACGAATGAAAAATTTCCAAGGAAATTAGTAGTACGGTTGCACTTTTGAGCAAACGATCGCTCTCATCGCGTATCATAATGAACGGAATTTTGCATTTTTCTATACGCAACGAGATGTCGTACGCCTGGGAAGATATAGTATATTTGGCACTGGATTCCCCTTCGCGAAATTCTTCTCGCATTAATAAATTACGATCACATCGACCTTAGATCAGTAATATAGATCTTTCATGATGTTTAATTGCAAGAGAAAAGATACCCCTAAATCGTTTAAAATTGTTGATCTAAAGACAAAAGATTAATCTAATTCTCATTTCCTTTGATATCACAGTCTTTTTTATATTATTGCAAAACATTGCATTGAATCAATTCACAAATCTGAGTGTAGTCCCAAATTATGAACCCTTAAGTAGCTCTTTATGATTTGTCGAAGTAAATCGAGTGGTTTATTCAAGTAATTCATTTCCTAAATATTTCATGCCATCTGCATTTTTTTTTCGCAAACAAGAGTCCATAGAAAATATCGTTTTCACTACTTTTAAAAGGTTGACGATACAGTAGAATTTTTGAAAAAGGCTTCGAAGAAAATTTCAAAACGTACGTTAGTAGGTGTTAAAAGAAACGTTTAAAATTAGACTGAGCAAACTTCAGACAAAAATTGATGCTTCGTTCCATTCTAATTACAGTATGTAATTCATTTCTTGTAATTTCCAATTAATTCTATTCTCAATAAAAGAAATTCAAGCCAGACGAATATCAAAAGAACAGCATTCGTCTCTGATGTCTGCTTTCGTTTGAAAAATGACACAAACTTAACAAGGAATTCGGCGATAAATTTGAAATTCTGGAAAATTCACTTTTGTCGTTCAAATTTTCACCGTGAAATACTAAACAAATAATTCGTTTAACAATCGATATTACTGAGCTAGGGTTGAACGAAGCGACAGCCACACATCGTCGCAGCAATTAGCGACGCAAAATACCATTTTCTTTCCTTCTTTCTTTTTCTTTTTTTTTTTGTTTTACACCGGTTACGCTATCTTGCTTTTGTTCGCGTATTGCTGCGATTTAGAGATCCACGAAATTTATCGAGATCAAAGGAACGATATTAACCAACGATCGAGAATTTTCAACGAGCAGGAACTGCTGTATACACGGTTCCCTCTCGTTTCGTCTCCAGATTGCAGCCATGGACGCGACCCCCAGGCCTCTGTGTATTATAGTATCGAATCGCGCATTACCAACTGGCAAACATACTTTTTTATATCGTGTACCAACCACGCGGCCGTTTAGGATACGAAAAAATATACGCGGCCACGCGTGCATTACGACTAAACAGCTTTGTATATTCTCGCCTCGGCGATCGAAGATCAACGTCATCATCCTGCCGACGTTCCTCGCTCCGTGTGCATCACGCGCATGCGCGTGCGCGTGCGTTCGCCAACGCACTATATTATGACAATGTTGGAATTTCAGTAAATATAAGGCTTGACCGATAGGTAAAGTCCTCGTAATTTTTAGCATTTCTAAACATAGAAGAGAGATAGATAGAGAAATAGAGAGAGAGAGAGAGAGAGAGAGAGGAATGCTCTGTAATTAGTGTACAAGAATTTTCGAACACACGTCGAATAACAGCAGTTAAAGACAAAATCGTGCTGTGATAAAAGTTGTTACAGTAGCTCTCTTGTATGCTTGATAAAAAAATCGTCAAATATAGTAACGTTCGCAACAGTCTGTCGCGTGAGGTAAATATTTCGAATTTCTTATTCAACAGCAATTACCAGGGTCGTGTTTACCGTAAGGCGCAATTAAGCGCAACCCTACTGTCTCCGCTCTCTGTACAGCCACGTTTAAAAAAACCTCACGTTATTTTCGTTTCGCTAAAACCAGTTACCGTACAAATGTCGATTTTCGATAAACATAAAAAAAAGAAAAAATCTGCATAAATTCGATCAACTGAAATTAGACTTTGCGGGTTCCATCGAGGCCCGCTAAACAAACCCGTCCCTGGCAATTGACACGAGGAATGTACGCTTGTCAAGTCTGAACGAAGATATATGTATGTACGTTTAAAAATGAAACATTTCGAAAAATACACGCTTTTCCGCTGCCTCCAAAGGAACATCCGAATTTTCTACCGAAACTGATCGCGTATACGCACACAAGGCTGTTACTTATCAGTCAGAGCCGACGTAAAGTAGACCGGGAAGCACGTGTCGATCGTGTAAAACCGGTACAGATCGATTATAATATAGGAAATCTGTTTTAACGTACGATTGAGCATAAAAGTGTAACCGTGCAGTCGTACACGTGTCTCTCTGTGGACACGTGACTCGTAACTAATCCTAAAAGTTTGATCTTAATAATCTCCCTAAACTGGAGTGTGTGTGTGTGTGTGTGTGTGTGTTAATTCGCTTAATCAATGTATGTATAGCGCTGCTCGTGGCAAGCTAAAAGACACGAGGAGGATCGGACGTCGGCAGGTATAGCAATCTCTGCCTATTGCCTGATCGTGACGTTCTTCGAGCCGTGTCACGAGAAGGGCATCGTACGACGATGATATGGCACAACATTTCCCTTTATCCGTCCCTTTATCCATTCCTTAGCTGTTCATTACGGTGGACCGCCTGGAGTAGCCTCGTCTCGTCACTGTCTCACCTTGAGCCTCGCATTCCCTCTTCACCCGATCGATTATATCCGCTACCAGCTTCTCCTCCTTCTCCCTTTGCTGTTCCCAGTCTGGCCCTTTACCGATCTGTCGAGACACCGTTTCACAATTTTCGCCCTTTACTTATAAACTTACACTTTCCTCGATCGTCACTCACACACACATACACACACGCACAGTGATCCAAGGGATCGAGCGAGACTTGCGAAACGACGTGGAAGCAAGTGGACGAGAGAGAGAGAGAGAGAGAGAGAGTTAGGGAGATACATAGGGAAAAACCTCTCTTTCTCGTCGTTCTCTCACGTGCTTTGATCAACAATCTCTCCCTAAAAGCTTGGCTAAATTCTTTCTAAAGGTGTGCAGATTTCGTCAACGTGCAAAGGGTTTCTCGTAGGTTTTTCAGAGGAGAGTGATATGTTTGTACCGATTTTATTTGGTTTTTGGTAATTTTACATTTTGGTTGGAAATTTGCTAATTTGGTTCTTTCGGCAGATTAAATTTTGGAGGTTTGAGATCATCTGGATGGAAATGTTACGCGACGCTGGATTGCAACATGGAAGGCACATGTTGGCTATCGAGAAGCCCGGATCCTAATGCCACGAGATTTCTTTTTTTGTGGGGATATGTTGAGGACAGAGTTTTCGTCCCTACATTTCTTGTGAATGTAAACGATACGAAGTAAAGCGTCGCGACAGCTGTTGCAAGTGTTGACAAGGACACGCTGCGACGTAATTTGGGCTATAGTATTAACCCTTTGATTTAAAATAACGAGCCAGACTCGTGACAAAAATCCATTTTAATCCTAACTTCCGTTTTAATTCGCAAGTCTGTGAAATAGATTAGCTTTCGTTTCTTGGTGCAGCGGTGAAACAGTGAACGGCTGACGCTTAGATGCACAGTCAGAAAAGAAATCATACGTTCAGGGGTTGAAGATATTCTCTACAAAACCACGTAAACTATTTTTCTATACCTATAACAGTTTGGTTTCTGTAAAATATCGGAAAAATCTGTTTCTTTCATAGTAATCCTATACTATTAAAATCATCCTGAAGAATTCCTTGGAAAAATTGATCCAAATTACAAAACTCGACACGAACTTACGGTGTGACCAAAATATCCTCAGAACAGAATAAAAACTGCCGGCATATTTCTAAAATTACACCTACACTCCACCTTTCATTTCAGAAAACTATATATTTCAGCTTCTCCTGAAAAATACTGCTCCGTTCGCCGCGTTCATACGAAAGGGGAAATGCTTTTTACCATGCGAGCGGAAACGGTTGCGAGGTAGCAAGGGTGAGAAAAACTGAACGTGGAAACAGCGGGAGAGCAATCACACACAGCTAAACAGGGATTCTTTAACACTTACGTCAGAGGTCTTCCGGACCTTCTTGTTCGTCGGCTCTTCTCTGTTCTCATCGTTCTCGTTGTCAGAATGGCGGGAGCTGAGATGACCGATGTAACCCTTTCGGGACTTGAAGTAAGCGTTACAACTGTGGCACTTGAACAGCGGCGCCGGTTGGGTGACCTGGGTGGAGACGTGGAGTTTGTACTTGTGCCTGTACCAACGGGTTCGAGATGGTAGGACCTCGCCGCACCACTTGCAGACTACGGAACCGTCGTTTTGAATGAGGTATTCCAGCAGCTTGTAAAACAACGTTTATTTTGGTTTTTTTCTCTCCGTCTCTTTTCACCGTGAAACGTTTTTTTTTTTTTTATTTTAACGTCGCGTGCGCGATTTCAATGATTTCTCCGTTGAATCATTTTTTTACAATTTTCTCTTGCCTCTCTATATACACAGTCTCCCTTCTCGCTGTAACTTGTTCGTTTCGATTTAGCGTTTCGCTGATTAGGCAGGATTAACCGTAGATAAGGTTCAATTTCGAACGTGTTTTTTTTTTAGCTGCGAGTTTTTCGGTTCGATTTCCACGGAACAAAGTACTTTTTTTTTTTTCCAAAAGATTTCCTGTTTTTCCCCCTTTCACGTGTATCTCTCAATGCGTGAGCCATCGAGGTTCGTTTCTCTGTTTTCTGCGGGCGCGGCGTTCCGTGGGAAGGTCGAGACGACGCACCGACAGAAAAGGTGTCACCCGGAACAAAGCGTGGAAATGAAATCCACTTGCTCGCTCGCGCGCAATTACGTGGAGAAAGTGGCGGTTCAACGAACTTCCCGCGTGAAACGCAAGCGGTTCGCTAATGACAAAAAAGAGATACGAAGCGCGAGCCAGATAAGAGATGTGCACGGTGAGCAATTGTGTTCCCCGTTGCGGTTAAAAAACGTTTCTGGGTGCTTTCCATTTTAATGTCACACGTGAGAAATTTCAATAACGCGGGTTCGGTCTGATACCGATTTAAATTAGGGGTATTTTTATTTAATGGTTACCCTAATTCGGGAGGTAACACGTTTGCGGAGAAAATGGCGGAAAATTTCACCTGCTTTCGCGTGGCACACGCTTACTTGTGACATTTACCGTTACTTTAATTAGTTTTTCTCTTCATCAGCCTTACATTAAATCGACTGACAATGATCTACTTATGGAACAGACACGATACTCACACGCATGTGCATAAAATTGCACAAAGTTGATTTAATGTTTAAATAAAATGTTATATTACCAGAATGAGATTTTGTTTCTTATTTTATTTTCGTTACGAATTAATTGTACAATTATTTCTCTTAGAGACTCGGACTTTTGTGTAATACTCTTGTAATAGAAATTATTTTGAATAAAAATGTTTAATTTTAACGGAGTTACGTTTTTTTCAATTATCACCAATTATAAATCCCCTGCCCTCTCCTTTGACGCATATTTCTCCAATTTCAACAACCCGACTATTGCAACCTCAGTTAACCCTAATACGGTGCTCGGGTCTTTCCTGACCCGTCGCCTTCAAATTCATATTCCCGCAAAATTACATTAAAAGTTTATCGTCCATGTTCATATGGAGTGCTAATAACAAAAATGATTGCACGCAAGATCTCTGGGTCAAAAAAGACCCGGGGACCGTATTAAGGTCAACCGAGCTCTCTTTTTGGACCCAAAGATCTCAAGTGCACAGTTGAACGGAAGAACGCACTATTGTTAACAATTCTACTATTAGCCCTTTGCACTCCGAGCATTTTCTTCACTTTAGCAGTGAAATTTTCTTTCTTTTCGAAAGAAATTCCTTCTGTCGATTCACTTTGTTTCAATATAAATGGAGACTTGAACGAAGCTACGAATGTCACCAGAGTGCAATACTCGAACAAGAAAACATCCCTGACGATACTTTCACCCGAAAAGAAAAACCGAATGGAAAGCACCCTATCAAATCCGCGGCGAGATCGGCTTTCTGAGCGGCCTCCTGGTGCTCTGTCCGTTTCTGTTGGTGCTGTTTCCACGAGAACGCAACAAGAAACCGCCGCTTCTCTTCGTGCTCGTTCTCCGAACGAAGCCAGTTGGCACAGCTGGTGCACTGCCCGCCGTAGCGGTATCATAAGCAGCAGACCAACCAACCTGTTTCCTCACTTCCGGCTCAGCCTCGCCGGACTCCGATTTAGGCAGCAACAGATCACCACGATCTTCCTCACGGTCGGTGAGAAAATGCATTCCGCTGACCACCCGTTCCGATTTGATGTACGCGGCGCTACTCCCGTTCCCTTCGCTGAACGTCTCCTCGCCGCTCCTCGTCGCCGTCGTAGACGGGGCCGAGGGAGGAGGCGGCGGCGACGAAGAAGACGACGTGCAGAGCTCGAACGTGATGTCGCTCGGTAGGCTCGGTAGCTGGTCTGGTTAGACATGGAAAGAGAACAGGCACAACAGGAGTGTTAGTCATGTTTTTTTTGAGCTCGAAGATTAGTGGTGGAATGCAAAAGTGGATGGTCGAGGACGAGGGAAGATTGGGGAGGAGATTGAAGGAAGTTCCTTGCGTCCTTTAACCTGTTAACTTTAAATTCAGTCTCTCCCTAGTTTGTAACGAAAAATTAACAGGAACTGTATCATTTTTCTTGTTGCAAATGTGCAAGAAGGCAGGCAAAATACAGAAACTGTACAATTAAAAGTGAACTGAACCAACGACGAGTTAACTCGTTTTCTTCAGTTAAGAGGTTAAATACGGAGCGCAGTTTGTATCGTTGTTTCCCTGTAAACTGATGTAACTCAGAAATATTCGTAGAAATGTTAAATTTTCTTCTACCAATTATCGTGGATTCGAGGAATATGCAAATTACAGTTAAACGGAGGTTTGTAAAACGAGTCGAGTCGTGTTTGGTAGGATTTTGGAAGAAGATCTAAAGAAACGAAGTTCAGGTATGACTTTGTCTTCCATTGACTAAAAATTTCCTTTGAAACGCCGACGAAGTGTTACCTTCTTATATGCAACCAACACACGCAGATCGAATTTTTCTAGGAACAAAGGGCAACAAATTTTTCTAAAGGGCACGCGATTCGCTCGGAAAGAGAATGTGCGGCTTGACAATAGAGATCTGATCTATGTACATATATACGGTTCCTCTGCCTTGTTTTTAATAGAAGGTTTGCGCTAATCAATACAAGAAATAAATGGTCGGATAGACTATTGCAATTATATATCACAAAGAGTTACAATGAAACTACAATTAGATAAAAACAAATAAAAATAGTAATAGTTATTAAATTGTTATCGCTCTTATCGTCACCAGGCACCAATAATAACATAGGTACATACGTACGTACATTAGAATGAATGTACAGCCGACGACCCGACGATAAAAATCTGTGCGAACGTGCAGGCTTTTGCATTTTTTTCTTTAGTGTTACTGTTATATGTAATGTAACGGTATTATT